TTCCTATTCTGTCCTATCCTATGAATTCATCCATTCATCCATCAATCCATCCATCCATCGGCTTATTCTGGATGACTCGGCTTATTCTGGATGACTCAGCCTATTCTGGATGACTTGGCTATTTTGGATGACTCGACTATAATATCCATCCCACCTATCCCATCCAATTCTATCCTTCTTTCCTATCCTTCCTATCCTTCCTTCCTATCCTATCCTACCCTTCCTATTCTGTCCTATCTTATTCTTTCTTCGGATTCTATCGTATACTATTCCATCCTTCCTATCCTATCCTATCCTATACTATCCTATCCTTCCTATTCTATCCTATCCTTCCTCCCTATTCTGTCCTATCCTTCCTATCCTATCAATCCATCCATTCATCCATCAATCCATTCATCCATCTGCTTATTATGGATGACTTGGCTTATTCTGGATGTCTCAGCTTATTCTGGATGACTTGGCTTATTCTGGAATACTTGGCTATATCCATCCCACCTATCCTATCCAATCCTATCCTTCTTTCCTATCCTTCCTATCCTATCCTATCCTTCCTATTCTGTCCTATCTTATTCTTTCTTCAGATTCTATCGTATCCTATTCTATCCTTCATACCCTATACTATCCTATCCTATTTCCTATTCTATCCTATCCTTCCTTCCTATTCTGTCCTATCCTTCCTCCTATCAATCCATCCATTCATCCATCAGTCCAGCCATCCACCTGCTTATTCTGGTTGACTCGGCTTATGCTGGTTGACTCAGCTTATTCTGGATGACTTGGCTTATTCTGGATGACTCGGCTTATTGTGGATGACTCAGCTTAAAAAGTCTAAATCTGGAGTCTGAAATTGAACTTGTTCAATTTCCAAAGTCTAGTTATTATTATTCTTTCAGAATCTTCCTCCTTCCCAGATTTCTCACCAACTAAAAGAATTTACTTTAAGCTGCTTACATGATCAACTAGGGGCAGTACCTGGGATGATGGGAAATTAGGTCAAATTTTTATCTAGGTCAAGGGTCAAGAACTAGGTCAAATCAAGGTCAAATCAACATTCTGTCAATTATCTTCGTTGTTGTTTGTCGTAACTACTTCATCTTAGTTTCTACATGTAGCTTAGAAAAAAACAAATCGAGAGTGTGCCATCCGTTTTTTGATTACTCTTAGCAATTTTGAGATATGGCGTCCTGAAAGTAGGTCAAAACCAAAAAGTTCCCCAAATTTAACATATGAGCTATGAAATAAGGGTAGAATTTTCTCAGGAATCCGAATCTGCAAACCAAATTTTGATCCGACTTTCCGTTCGGAAGTTATGGTGTTTTGAAAGCTCAAAAATCGCTAAATTTGGTGCCCATGTTAAGTCAATGGGAAAAAAGATTTTTTTGAAGTGAAAAATACGAAATATAGACTGAGTTCAGCTAAATATAATGAAAGCTTTTAAAAGAAGGTGACCTCATAAGCCATCTAGCTTCAAAATTTGGACACCAAAATGCCTAGGTCAAAATCTAGGTCAAATTCAAACTTTTTCCTTATTTTTGCGACTCTGACACAACAGATTAATTATATTCTTCGAAATTTTGTATACATGTAGCTAAGAGTCTGCTAATAGTGTTAGCCTTATGCCGTCAGAAAGTATTTTGCCCCATTTTTGAGATATGGTGTCCGAAAAGTAGGTCAAAATAAAAAATTCTCAAAATTTGACGTTTGAGTTATGAATTAAGTATAGAATTTTCTCAGGAATCCGAATCTGCAAACCAAATTTCGATCCGACTTCCGGTTTGGAAGTTATGACGTGGCCGAAAAGTAGGTCAAAATAAAAAGTTTCCAAATTTAACGTATGAGCTATGAATTAGGGATAGAATTTTCTCTGGAATCCAAATCTGCAAACCAAATTTCGATCCGACTTCCGGTTTGGAAGTTATGGCGTTTTGAAAGCTCAAAAATCGCTAAATTTGGTGCCCCATGTTATGTCAATGGGAAAAAATATTTTTTTGAAGTGTAAAATACGAGATATAGACTAAGTACAGCTAAACATAATGGAAGCCCATAAAAGAAGGGGACCTCAAAACCTTCTAATCTTGAAAATTTGGACAACAAAATGCCTAGGTCAAAATCTAGGTCAAATTCAAAGCTTTTCCTTATTTTTGCGATTCTGACACTACACTTTAATTATATTCTTCGAAATTGTGTATACATGTAGCCAAGAGTGTGCTAATAGTGTTAGCCTTTTGCCGTCAAAAAGTATTTTGACCCACTTTTGAGATATAGTGTCCCAAAAGTAGGTCAAAATAAAAAAATTATAAATGTAACGTATGAGTTATGAATAAGAGGTATAATTTTTATCAGGAATCCGAATCTGCAAATCAAATTTTGATTCGACCTGTTCGGAAGTTATGGTGTTTTGAAAGCTCAAAAATCGCTAAATTTGCTGCCCCATGTTATGTCAATGGGAAAAAAGATTTTTTTGAAGTGTAAAATACGAGATATAGACTGAGTACAGCTTAATATAATCAAAGTTTATTAAAGAAGGGGACCTCGAAGGCTACTTAGCTCCAAAATTTGGACACCAAAATGCCTAGGTCAAAATCTAGGTCAAATTTATAGTTTTCCCTTATTTTTGCGATTCTGACACTATATTTAAATGATTTGCTTTAAAATTTTGTATACAGGTAGCAAAGAGTATGCTAATAGTGTTAGCGTTTTGCCGTCAGAAAGTATTTTGACCCACTTTTGAGATATGGTGTCCGAAAAGTAGGCCAAAGTTAAAAGTTTTCCAAATTTAACGTATGAGTTATGAATTAAGGGTAGAATTTTCTCAGAAATCTAGATCTGCAAACCAAATTTCGATCCGACTACTTGTTCTGAAGTTATGGCGTTTTGAAATCTCAAAAATCGCTAAATTTGGTGCCCAATGTTAAACATAATGAAAGCCCATAGAAGAAGGGGACCTCAAAAGCTACTTTCCTTCAAAGTTTGGACACCAAAATACCTAGTTCAAAATCAAGGTCAATTTCATAGTTTTTTTTATTTTGCGATTCTGACACTACACTCCAATGATATTCTCCGAAATTTTGTAAACTTGTAGCAAAGAGTGTGCTAATAATGTTAACATTTTGCCGTCAATAAGTTTTTTGACCCACTTTTGAGATATGGTGTCCGAAATGTAGGTCAAAATAAAAAGTTCTCCAATTTTAAAGTATGAAAGTTATGAATTAGGGGTAGAATTTCCTCAGAAATCTGGATCTGAAATTAAAATTGCAATCCGACCCCCGGTTTAGATTCTACGCCATTTTGAAGTTTGAAATTCGCACTTGCCAGTATTCACGATGCAGATTGATCAAATATACTTTCAAAAATTCCTGCATACCCTACTTTACCTCTCTACCTACTCAGCTACTTATTTGACTACTTACTCAATTACTTAATTAGTTATTACTTCCTTAGCAACTTACTCAGCTACTAACTCAGGTACTTACTCAGCTACTTACTCAGCTACCTACTCAGCTTTTTACTCAGTTACTTACTCAGCTACTCACTCAACTACTACTAAGGTACTTACTCAGCTAATTACTCAGTTACTTACTCAGCTCTTTACTGATCTATCTAGGTCAAATAAATCTGGAGTCTTAAATTGAACTTGTTCAATTTCACAAATCTAGTTATTTTTCTAATCATGGTTATGAATTTATTTGAAATGCTGGCTTTATGCATATTACAAATGCTGTAAATTATTTCATGAGTAATACAATAAGAAATGATTATAAAGTAATGGTAAGTACTGTAATACAATAATTTGCAAATATACATATATTTAAAACTATGTTTGTGAAAAAAATTCAAAAACTTGAACATGAATAATTTCCGGTTCAATTTTTGACTCCAATGTTATTAAAGACTCTCTAGATAAGCATGTTTAGCCAATGCTTGTAGTGTTACTTAACAGTTGTTTTACTGTATAGTAATTGCAAAAATATTCTGGAAACTGCTGGTTTGAATTTTCTGTATGAAATGAGTATAAGTATCTACTAATGCATGGTAACATATGGTATTGATCCCGAATCCAGTAATGATATCCGTCTGTAGCAATACACTTGTTATACTAATAAAACACTTGGCTAATTTACAGGGAAATAAGACATATATTAGACATTTTTTGGATATAATACAAAATATACAAATACAGATGCAGTTAAGCTGCACATTTTATATGGAAACACAAAGTGCGATTATCTGGCGTCTGTAAAGTTCGAATGTTTACAAAATATTATTCAACTTAAGGAACAAAAGTTGTACTAAGCAAATATGTTGCAGCCGTATTGTAAAATTATTGAATCTTATTTACTGACATTTATATCCAACAACATAAAAAATAAACAGGTACAAAAAAGCACAATTGAGTGAACAAAATGTGCTTTTCAGCTGAATAGTAAAATGCAGAGGCACATCCTTAGTTGAATTGAAAAGGCACAATAGGTATTCAGATAAGGCTATATATGTGTGTGTGAAGTAAAATGAATCAAAGTTCAAGACAGTATGGCTGGGAGTATGACTATGATTTGATTCCTACATTCGATATGGATGGATTAACAGATGATCATGATGCTTGTATGCCTACTCGGAGCAGATATGAAGATACCATGTAGGGAATCAAATGGTTTTAATTCCTCATTCTCAAAGGAACTTACATGACCGTATACTGTCAATGTGCTACATTTGCACATTCAGTTTTATGTTGCTTTCAGAATTCAGATACTACTCCTGGTAATTTCCGCGTGCTACTATATTTCGCGCTTTTAGCAAGTTTTGGAAGATTTCCGAAATATAATAGCCGGGAAATTTGAAAACCTGTGATGAATTGATAATAATATAAATGTACAATAACAAGTTTATCTCTTTATATTTATCCAAGGATTGCAAATAGGGAATCATTTTTTAGAATGCGTAATATTGTAAGAAGTATGAAAATGCAGCTTATAATACAATTACATTTGTATATGTTTCAGGGGCATGACAGTGACATCTGGGAGTGTGACACTAATCAAAGACTCCCAGAACCTGATTGGTATAAGTATTGGAGGTGGCGCCCCCCTGTGTCCATGTCTTTATGTCGTGCAAATATTCGACAACACACCTGCTGCCAAAGACGCCACTCTTGCTTCTGGTGATGAAATTGTGGGTGTCAGTGGACAGTCTGTGAAAGGAAAGACTAAAGTGGAAGTAGCACGTATGATTCAAGCTGTAAAGGTAAATATAACTGAAATACAGTCTAGCTCAAAGTTGCAAGACACATTGACCAAATAGCTTTTTGGCTCATTTTTCTATATGAAATTATATGATATTCTGAGGCACTTGTTGAGACTGCATCATACTAAGTATGTGTACCATCATTTTTGATTGGAATAACAGCAACGCTTTTCAAATTTATACAGTTGGCCTATTCTTTGTCATGTTAACTGAATTCATTAAAACAGCTTTGTAGAGTTCAAAAGTTCAACCCTTAAAGTGCTTTGATCGTTTAGTTTATTCATGCTAAACATATAAATCAATTTGTTTGAGCTCCTCTTTTGCAAATAAACATCAATATTGATACATGTAGTGTGATGTATGGATTGTTCATAGTTAAGTGAAGGAGATCCAACTAATAAATTATTGAATATGCCACAATTTTTTTTTTCAATTCAATTTATTTATTTCATAATTCTTATATAATATACACTATAAAAACAAGCTGCTAGACACCCTAGTGGGTATATGTTGCGGTTCAACTGCAATTCTTAAAATGACATCTAGACTACATATAATGAAAGCACTTATTTGAAATTAACGAAAAAATCAGCAATGGACATAAGGATAGAATGCATGGGCCAGAATTGAAAACTTAAAGGTTGACCGGGCATAATAAATTTCAAGGTTCTTTTTTTTTACACAAAGTCATTTAAACTGATAACCCTTCAGCCCACTTTGCCCTCCTAAATACATCTTATTGATGTACATTTACCCAGGGTTCAAATCTAACTTCTGCCTGACTTCCAGTAGCAATCATTTTCAACCCTTGGTATTTGATTGGATCAACCAGGTGACTTAATGCCATTATCTTACATTGGGCAATCATGCTTTAAACCTTACTTTTAAATCCTTAATGTACTGAATGCTATATATGTAGATAATTGATGGTTATGTCAATGATTGATTTCAGACTGAGGTTACTATTAACTACAACAAACTCCATGCTGAGGTGAAAAGAGGCAAAACTTTAGATATAAGTAAGATCCTATAGTAGTTACAGTAAAACTATTTTGGAGTGAGAGAATAATTATCCCACCGAACGAAGTTCGAGGGGGATATAGAGAAGCCGTCCGTCTTCCGTCCGTCCGTTCGTCCGTCCGTTCTTCCGTCCGTTCGTCCGTCCGTCCGTTCGTGTGTCCGGGCAATACCTCAAATACCGGTTGACGGATTTCATTCAAATTTTATAGGCTTATGCCTTATGGGTGAAGGACCTCTGCTCGAGAAGGAATTTTCAATATGGCCGCTTAATTCAAAATGGCGGCCATTTTTCGGAAAATATGTAATCTTTAATAACTCAAATACTAGTGGATGGATTTGGTTCAAATTTTATATGCTGTTGCCTTGGTACAAAGGAGCCTTGCTCAAGAAGACATTTTCAAGATGGCCACCAAATTTCAAAATGGCGGCCATTTTTCGTAAAAAAACGTTATCTTTGATAACTCAAAGACCATTGAATGGATTTGGTTCAAATTTTAGATGCTGATGCCTAGGGACATAGGAGCTCTGTTCGAGAAAGGATTTTCAAGATGGCAGCTAAATTTCAAAATGGCGGCCATTTTTCGTAAAAAAACATTATCTTTGATAACTCAAATACCATTGAATGGATTTGGTTTAAATTTTATATGCTGATGCCTAGGGACATAGGAGCTCTGCTCAAGAAAGGATTTTCAAGATGGCAGCTAAATTTCAAAAAATGGCGGCCATTTTTCATTAAAAAACATTATCTTTGATAACTCAATTACCATTGAATGGATTTGGTTCAAATTTTACATGATGATGCCTAGGGACATAGGAGCTCTGCTCGAGAAGGGATTTTCATTTGATAACTCAAATACCAGTTGACGGATTTGGTTCAAATTCTATATGCTGATGCCTAGAGACAAAGAAGATCTGCTCAAAAATAAATTTTCAAGATGACCACTGAATTTCAAAATGGCCGCCATTTTTCGTAAAAAAACGTAATTAATGATAAATCAAATACTAGTGGATGGATTTGGTTCCAATTTTATATGCTGATGTTTAGGGAAAAAGGAGATCTGCTTCAGAAGAAATTTCAAAGGTGATAGCTGAATTTTAAAATGGCTGCCGTTTTTCATTAAAAAAGTAATCTTTGATAACCCAGATACCATTGGACGGACATTCTCTGCTAAAGAAGAAATCTAAAGATGACGGCTGAATTTCAAAATGGCAACCATAAAGACATAATCTTTGATAATTCAAATACCAGTGGATGTATATTTGCCTCAATTTTTTTTATCAAAACATGTTTTGTTCGGTGGGATTTGCTACTCCGTGGAGTTGCTGTTTTTCTAGTTATATATAGTCTGATTTATTTGAACTATAGTATGAATAAGTCTTCAATGGGAACCAATAGTACCAACTAAAAGTTCCGAAAAGCAAGCCCTATGTCCTGTTTTAGAACATCTATTCTTACTTTTGAAAATGGATTCTAGCAAAACTGTCCCACATGAATCTACTTGTCGAGACTCGATCAACTTGAGTTCCTCTTAGAAAATGAGGATTTTAGCCAGTGCGCGTTGACTCAACATGGGGAGATATACCATTGACCATTGACTTAGCGTGTGGATACCATCAGGTATGTCACCATGTAAAGTCAATGCACCCTTGCTGAAATCCTCATTTTCTCAGAAGAACTCAAGTTGATCGAATCTCAACAAAGAGATTCCTGTTGGATTGGATAGTATTGCTAGCATCCATTTTCGAAAGTTAGAATAGGGGTTCTTCAACAGGACATTAAAGCGCCTTTTTGAAATTTTTATTTAGTACTAATAAGCCAAATCGAATTTAGACAATAATGGGTATTTTTGTTATTTGATTTCCAATTGTGTACTTCTCTTTGTATTATTTATGTAAAAGTATTGATTAAGAAATAAGTATAGTGATCCATATGTTTTATAGGGATTAGTGCAATCTGTACTTTCTTAGAACTGTGTCAATCAAGAACTTTGCCCTGTGGGATATACTTAGTTGCTAACTTGCTCTTCATTATCTTTTTAGTTCTTAAAAAGATGAAACATTCCATAGTTGAGTCAATGAGTTCCAGTACAGCAGATGCCTTGGGTCTTAGCAGAGCAATCCTATGTAATGGTATGTTAAGTTCTTTACATAAACATAAGCATGTACAGTGACTCAATTATTTAGTTTGTTTGGAAATGTAGACTGGAAGGAAAGGAACCATATCCTTCATGATCATTGTCTCATCAAATATCTAAGAACCAAGATAATAATCAAATTCCAACATGTATTAATGATGAAAGATGATGAAGTATTACTTACGTTATCTAATGTTATTTGCTTTACATGATTTACACTTAACGTTTATTATATTGTATGACAATAAATTTTACTGCATTTGTTTATTTCACTTAATGTGTCAATTTTAATGTACCAATGGTTGCACTGGGTTACATTTTATATGCCAATGTTTTTATTAAAAGTCCTTAATTGTACTTTTCTAGATGGGATGGTTAAGAAGATGAATGAGATGGAAGCAGTTGCCATTATGTATCAGGGGATGATGACACACACAAAGAAAGTTTTAAGATCATTTTTTGATCTCTCTCAAGCACATAAGAGTATGCTGAACATACATAACCATGTTTATTTTATATGTTCATAAATGCATGTCTCTTGTATGATAACCAGACTTGTTTTTCTACTAGCCTTCAGAATGATAACCAGATATTTTATCTTTTGGCCTAAAGTATGAGAACTAGTAACTGTTATGGCTTAGAAACACCAACAGTCTACCACATATGGAAATACATAGTAAAACAAAATATGATACCTTTTTGTTATATAGTTAAACAGGTCCTGGTTTGTTCTAGGATTAAGAAATTACTTTTCTTCATCCTAGGTTTGATTCATAATTGATTCACAATATTGTATTGTTTTATGTTCTTACTTTTTGTATCGTTATAATTAGTTATTTTTAGGTAGTAATTCAGTGATCTCCCAAGCATAAGAGCAACAAAGAGCTGTTGATTATTCATAAAATTTAGTGACACCCTGTTGAAAATATGTTTGCACTCTGTCAAATAGCTGAAATATTGACATATTTTGACCAAAATGGGTGAAATAGAATTTAGCACACTCCTGAGAAAATAAAACTGAGGAGATCGCTGAATTTCTGTTTATTTCTCATCCATAGTGTTATTTCATAGTTTTGACGTTTATTGATTGCTGCCACGTATAATTCCAGACCATCCTTAACACAGCCTTTTGTAGATTTTAACTGTTCTAGCTGAATGATTTAATAAAATTGACAAAGAATAGTTGCATCTTTATGTTCCATATATTCTGGATATGAAACTTATGAGGCAGATGACTTTTAAAAGATGGATAACATGCAGCAGTTATTTTCTAAAAATGTTCAAAATGGAACTTAAATGTTGATGGTGAAATATTCAACTTTAAGTTTTGAAATGAGAATATGTCATGCATAATTTGTTATATTATAGACATTGATCATATTTCTCTTCTTTTTTCAATAGGCCAGATATAGGCTATAGGCCTATATAAGATTTAAAAATCACATGCCTCAACAGTTTGTCTGTTTCATTAGGCCTTATTCATATTAGGGTTCCTATCAAACAGAACAGATAGTTCCCAAATATGAGTAAGAGCAACAGAAGACACATAATGCACATCCTATATTTGCTTTGTAATGAATCACTTTATAAATGTAGATATTTGTATTATTGTAGACATGTTGATGCTTTGATGTTGTATCACGCAGTACATATCAAAACTTTTATACTTGTATATCCCAGAATATATGACAGTACATTCTGTTATTCATATTAATCCGCAGAATGATCGCCTACAGGAGCCTCTTTCTTAACATATCAGAGAATAATGATTTATCAGTTAGTTGTGATATGTGCTGTAATGCCCGTGTTTTCTGTTAGATATTTTAGTTAAGAAGTTAGAAGACTTGGAAATGACAGGGGGAACTTATGCTGGCCTAGTGTCACACATTAAACGTCTCCTCAGAGCATTTTTCGATCTGGCCCAGTCTCATAGAGGTAACTTTAAGGACATTTTCATGGTTGGGTGATTTTTGGTAATACATTGGAAGGACTGCTAATATATTTGCCTTTCATTCTATTAACATGGTACTGGGTCATTCATTTCTTGTTTCCCTTTCTCTGAATGAATAACTTTGATAATTTTAACATAAACTTTGCTTAAGTCTTGAATATGAGTGCAATTAGATGATGCTACGGGAATACAGAATACAGAAGCATGCTGTATAAGCTTAAACTTTCATTGCATTAACATTCTTTGTTTGCTGAGTGGGGATGACAAGGAATAAAGCTCTCTATTCTTCCTTTTTACTGACTTTTTGTCAAGGTTTCTACATTTATTATGCACAAGAAAATAATGACATTGACGTAACTAAGCAACTGGTAAGTATACTATATAGTTGTAAGCTTTTAGCTTGTCATTTTATTATGTTGGCACTTTTATAGTCTCAATCTTTTGTCGATGGTTGGTATTTGGAGGTTGGTATCTGTAACAAATGGTAGGTGGTGACATTTTGCATGTTAATGTCTTGTAAATGTTTGTTAAAGTTAGCATGTATAATCCTTTTACCTACAATCATTCTGGAAATGTAGTCTTAGATCAAGCCTCTGTGTTGTCCAATGCACATTCTCTTGCTTTAATAAGGCCTTGGAAATTTATATTAGGAAGGGTTGGTTGCAGAGGCTTGATGCAAGACTGTCAATTCATTTCATTAGTTTTTTAGAATTTTGATAATTGCATGTTTATCACCTGTTTCATTGATCTAAACAATATTTTGGTTGAAATTCAAAATCAATATTTATAATATCATTTGTAATAGTTCATTTACATTGCAATAGATTAACTGCAAGGTTTCAAAATAGAAATAATTAGTTTTATTGTAATAAGTGTAATTATTATATGAGAATGAATGTTTATCCATCTGGAAAAATGAAATAATTAGTTTTATTGTAATAAGTGTAATTATTATATGAGAATGAATGTTTATCCGTCTGGAAATGTTCATATTGAAGTATAACTGATAGATCTAACTGTTCCAAAAAATTGTTCCAGTCTATGGGAATGTGACAAACATATAGACTGGAACAATATTAAATTTTAGCGCCATCTATGAACAGAGACAGAGGAGTGTATTTGGACCCCATATACCACCAACTTTTGAGACATCCCTCTAAATTTTCAAATTTCCTGCCACAGTAACTTAAGAAGTCCTATGGATGTAGGACGAAATATTTTACATAAATTTTTTCAAATATGTCCGTGTTAGATGAACCAGTAATACTTCAATGTAATTATTATGTTCGGAAAAATGTATCAACTTCATATTTTTCTAACTAGTGAAACATTATTTTCTCCAGCATTTGGTGAGGTTTTCTGTGCAATAGGGGTGAGAGAGCCTCAGAAATCAGCCAGTGAGGCATTCTCTGAGTTTGGTGAGGCACATAGAAATATTGAGAAATTCGCCATCAAGATGTTGAAGACTGTGAAACCAGTAAGAATGTTATAATAACTTTTTTGGGGTAATAGGGTTACAATAAAAAATGTCAATCCAAATATATTTCATAATCCCTGTTATGTATCATTTTGTTATTGAGACCACTAGATTTTGAATTTGAAACTATACAATATAGAAGCATTCAAATCAACTGATAAACATTATGGCTGGTATTATGTCAATTGCGTGTATTTTGTATCATGTTATTTATGTGTATTTTGTATTATGTCAATTGTGTGTATTTTGTTTTATGTTAATTAAGTGTGTTTTTGTATTATGTCAATTGTGTGTATTTTGTATTATTATCCCATCGAACGAAGTTCGGAGGGATATAGGGAACGGCTCCGTCCGTCCGTCCGTCCGTACGTACGTCCGTACGTCCGTACGTCCGTCCGTCCGTCCGTCCGTCCGTCCGTCCGGGCAATAACTCAAATACCGTTGGCCCGATTTTGTTCATATTTTGTACACATATACCCTATGGGGGTAGAAGTTCTGCTCGAAAGCCGATTTTCAAAATAGCCGCTCATTTCAAAATGGCGGCCATTTTAGTGACGATTTTACAGTAATTAAGGTGCAATATGTAAAACTGTAATAGCAATATGTTTTAAATGTAAAAAAATTATAAATAATCTACATTAATAATGCTACAAATGTAGATATTAAAAAAGCACATGGCAGCCATCTTGAAAAATGGCGGCCTTTACTCGTCATTTTACAATTTTTGCTGTAACTCAAAAATAGTGGAGCGATTTTGTTCATATTTGATGTGTGAATACTATAAGCATTGCACATTGTCTAAAGACAATTTTGGTAGAAGGCGGCCATTTTGAAAAATGGCCGCCATTTTAACGTATTTTACTATTACTCGAAAAGTAGTGGAGCGATTTTGTTCATATTTGGTATGTGAATAGTATAAGCATGGCACACTGTCCTATGACACTTTTGGTAGAAGGCGGCCATTTTGAAAACAATTTTGAAAAATGGCCGCCATTTTAACGTATTTTACTATAACTCGAAAAGTAGTGGAGCGATTTTGTTCATGTTTGGTATGTGAATACTTTTAGCATGGTACACCGTCTATTTCTAATGACGCTTTTGGTAGAAGGTGGCCATCTTGAAAAATGGCCGCCATTTTAACGTATTTTACTATAACTCGAAAAGTAGTGGAGCGATTTTGTTCATATTTGATATGTGAATACTTTAAGCATGGCACATTGTCTAATAAAACTTTGGGGAGTAGTCGGCCATTTTGAAAAATGGCCACCATTTTTATGTGTGTTATTTTACAAGTACGTGTGCGATTTTTCAAAAATTTTAGAGGTGGCTACTTAAAAGCATATTATTTCTTCTGATGACAACTTGGCTAGTGAGCAACAATTTTGAAAATGGTGGCCTTTCTGGTGTGTTGTTTTATGATATTTGCGCTTCGTTTGTAAAAATGCCAGCCATTTCTGTTCGATGGGATTCGCTACGCTTTGGCGTTGCCGTTGTTCTGGTGTTATTTATGTGTATTTTGTATTGCAGATGATAAGTGATCTGAACACATACCTAAACAAAGCTGTACCTGATACTAGGCTGACAGTGAAGAAATATCTTGATGCAAAGTTTGAATATCTGGTATGTGTGGAACATTTAATAAATAACTAATACTCACATATTAGGCGATCAGCCTGGGGGGTTGGTCGGTACCAAATCAGGGGAATAATGGCCATGGTGATTTTTGGGAAGGTCTAGACCCCTAGAAAAAGAAAATATGTGATAGCATTGCAGAAGTGGTAGCTTAATAGGTGTTATCACCCATTTTTCAAAATGGCCGCCGGTGCGCTTGCTACCAAATAAAAGAAGTTATATCTAAGCATTCTGAGAGGCAAAATCAGTGATTTTAGGGTCTAATTCTGGGTTTTAGGGGTCAATGATTTGAGTTATGCCAAAATCCAAGTCATCAAAACATTAATTCATATGAAAATCCAAGATGGCCGCCAAATTTGGTTCAAAAACCTCGTACTAATGATATAAGCTCAAAAACGTTTGAACATGATTTTGAAGAGTTTTAGAAGAGGTTTTAGAGTCTAAAGATTTTATTCATGTCTAAAGCTATGTCATCAAAGGATTACTTTATATTGAAATCCAAGATGGCCGCACAATAGGTGCCAAAGCGAATATGTCATTACAGTATTGAATTGATATACATGTAAGCTCAAGGAACAGATAAAAAGCAATTTTGTAGACAATGAAAAGGTTTAGGGGTCAAGGATTTCATTTATGCCTCATTTAAGTCTAAGTCAGCAAAGAATTGCTTTATATGGAAATCCAAGATGGCCACCAAAATGAAAATATAACCACATGTATTGATATAAGCTCAAAGAACAGATAAAAATTAATTTTGTAGACCATGAAAGTGTTAGGGGATCAATAATTTTATTGTCTTAGTCATCAAAGAATAACTTGATGTGGAAATCGAAGATGGCTGCCAAAATGAATATGTTACTATCAATATGTGTTTAAAGTGATTTTGGAGACCATGTCTAGGTTTCAATGGTTGAAAACTTTAATTACATGTATGTCTAAAACTTAGTCATCAAATAATTCTTTTATTTGGATATTCAGGATGGCAACCAAAATGGCTGCCAAAAGAATATTGTTATTTTGGAATACATTTATTTGAATATCCAAGATGGCCCTGATGGGATGTACCATCTCAATTGTACCCTCTTCATCGCAGCAATGAACTGGATTGTAAAAGCAGAAGAGTCCAAGTAAAGAGGTCTCAAAGTGAATGATGACACAAAACATCCTTCTTGGCAAGCCTTTATGGACATTATCACTGTTATGACCTAGTCATTCGCTGGAGCACAACTAAGCTGCCTCGAGATGATGGCCAATTGGGCATGTATCATGTGCAATCCAAGGAATCTTTTCAGCTGAGTGGTATACAAAGGCAGCTAATGTGCAATTATTCATACTATCCATGATGAGATAATTGAATATCTAGGGAAATATTTTGATGAGTTTCTTCAAGATATCAACATCATCTGTGAGAACTAGAAAAATGAATGAAACCTATTGACCTTAGCCATGTAGGGAGTTGGTTCAAAGTCTCATGCTTTCAGTTTGGTGTTATTCTCCTGTAACTTTTCCAACTATGTAACTTCCATTACATCAACATAGGCTGAGGATAAAGAGCAACATCAACAGAGTAAGAAGGGGTGACTTGCAAAGGTTACCTGGGAGTAGATAGGCAACTTTGGTTCCAATAATCTCAAACAAACACACACCCAAAAAAGGTTATAAGTATTTTAGCACTCTGGGAATCAGCTCTTGACAATGGACCAAGTTAAATTTTGGTGTATCCCGAAAGCTCTAATTGACTCTAATTCCAAGAAAAAAGAAAAAGAAAAAAACAAAGAAAATGAAAAGACACAAGACAACACAAATGAGAAAACACAAATAAAACAAGAAAATTGAAAGGCAGCAAAGAAAACAAAAAACAAAGACAAAAATAAAAACAACAAAGAACACTGAAAAATATAGAGGTTTTGACAGATAAAGAGAGAAATAAGCTAGAAAATAGGAAAAAACTTAACCAACAGCCAATTTGGCAGCAATCGATTTTGGCAGCCATCTTTGATTTTCATCAAGACAACAATTTAACAATTAAAGTAAAAAGATAAATTCAATTGTAACTGAAATCCTCAATCCCTAGATCCTAGTTAACCAAGGGAAAGATCAATACCCGGTGATTTCAGCGGGAAGTGGCGTTTCGTTCAGTGGATGAGCTGCGCGCGCACGCATAAATGTGATTATCCAATATAATTAGGGGAGGGCTATTTGAAGTAGTTTTTGGTCTCAGGCGCGACCCAGGGCTGTTGTCTTAAGGACATTTCGTTGAAAATGAGCCATTCGGCTGATAATTGGTAAGAGTTTGCGATCTTATAATGTATAACTGTTACTCAGACACATATTTTGACACGATTCTGTTGGAAATAAGCTTTGAACCGAGAGATATTCACGATTGATATGCACATTTTTGATTGTGCCATTGCTTTTCTATTGCACAATCCATGTATTGATAGAAGAAACATTAATAATACAGATTGGTTTACCTTCAATACATGGCAGACACTACATATCGGTCTATTAATACCAGTTTGTGCCTTAAATAGTTTTATATTTCCATCCACGGCCTGGAGCCTGGGTGTGTTTGTCTCTTATGTGTATGCTTGTGCATGGACTTCTAATCACTAGCAGAATTTAACATGATGCAAACTCGACATTATAACTCATGCTGTAACATTGTGACTTCGCTGGAAAACAATAGGAATTATTTTTCTTGCCAATCAATCATGAATCACAATCAAAATTTCAGAATGATCAATCAGGCAATGGTCCAAATCAAGTTATAACATTATATGATATTCAGCAAGAATTCCGGTAGAAATACAGAATATTTAAACATCAAAGCTGAAAGTTAAAAGCTAATCTGTCAATTTTCTGTCTGCAAAAGAGCGTCCCAAGAGCGTTTACATTTGACACAATAACAGACTGAGGCTTTGAAATCTAGGATTCCCCAGGAAAATATGACGTCATACTAATTAGCATAAGGATTTCCCTATTGGTGTGGGTCGAGCCTTGTTCGAAAACACAATCCATAAATACATGCTAATTTCTAAGGAGATAGGAAGTGTATAACGTGTTTATCGATTTTGTTTAAAGATTTAATCAATTATCAAATTGTTTAAGTGGATAAAGTGGTCACACTTGCTTCAATTCATAGCGAAATCGACGGATAGAAACTGACCGAATTCCCGATATCCTACCCCGTATTACTGTATGCTACAAGCACAGTGACCTACAGAGGGCGCTATCACAAACAAGTACTGGACGAACCGATAAATTCCCGGGTATTGTAACGCCCTTGAGTTAACTAGTCAAAGATACCACAATCACTTGCCAACATCCTCTGTTAATGCTAAAGATATACATGTATGTACATGTAAATATTCATTTTGGCAGCCATTTTGGATTTTAATATGAGGAAAGGTTAAGATGACTCTGGTAAAGGCTAAATTGAAACCATTTTCCCCTGAAACCTAGTTTCAGATATCTATTACGTACATTACATTTCCAACTTTTCTATGTGTGTATAAATTCATTTTAGCAGCCACATGTTTGGCCATTTTGGCAGCCTTTTCAAATTTCTATATAAAGGTATTTTTTAATCACTTAGATTTATCCATGGATGGAATCTGTATCAACCTCTAAAACCCTATCATGGTCTGCAAAAGCACTTTTTAACTGTTCTTTGAGTTGATATAAATAATTTACATATTCATTTTGGCACTCATTTTGGTGGCCATCTTGGAATTTCATATAAAGGATTTCTATTATTACTTAAATTTAGACACAAATAAAATCCTCAGCCTCTAAAACCTATTCATGGTCTCCAAAGTCACTTTTTAACCGTTCTTTGAGCTTTTTTTTTTATCTTATATCAATAGTAACATATTTGTTTTGAGACCCATTTTGGTGGCCATCTTGGATTTCCATATAAAGCAATTTTTTGATGACTTAGATTTTGACATAAATGAAATCCTTGACCCCTAAAACCCATATATAGACTTCAAAATCACTGTTTTTGCCTCTCATTATACTTAGATATGATTTCTTTTATTTGGTAAAAAGCGCAATAGCAGCCATTTTGAAAAATGGGCGATAACACCCATAAGCTACCACTCCTACAATGCTATCACATATTTTCTTACTCTGGAGGTATTTACCTTGCAAAAATCACTATGAGCATTATTCCCCTAACTTGGTACCGATAACCTAAATTTTGGGGTGAAGCTGATGGCCTAATTTCTTTTATTTGGTAAAAAGCGCAATAGCAGCCATTTTGAAAAATGGGCGATAACACCCATAAGCTACCACTCCTACAATGCTATCACATATTTTCTTACTCTGGAGGTATTTACCTTGCAAAAAATCACTATGAGCATTATTCCCCTAACTTGGTACCGATAACCTAAATTTTGGGGTGAAGCTGATAGCCTATATTGCCTCATTCTTCATGAATGTTTTGCAATCATTTCAATTTCAAATTTCAATCAATATTGATTAACTTTCGATTGCAGCTAAACCAAGTAAAATCTGTTGTTTACAATTGGAACTTTATTAGGATATCATGCAAAAACAACAATAGAATATGCCTCTTAACCACCATGAATTGTGTGATATCATCTCATGGTTCAGGCATGGTATTCAATGTTTAAGGTTCATAAATCATAGGATATACATGTACTCATATTGTCATAGTCTCCAAATTTTTTGTGGACTGTGTTTGGTGGTTGGTGTTTGGCATTTGGCGGTTGGTGTCTGTAATAAATGGTAGGTGGTGACGTTTTGCATGTAAATGCCTTGTCTGTTTTTCTTTTAGTCATACTGCCTGAAGGTAAAAGAAATGGATGATGAAGAGTACAGCTATGCTGCCCTCCAAGAGCCCCTTTATAGAGTAGAGACTGGCAATTATGAATATAGGTGAGTTTCTTTATAGAGTAGAGACTGGCAATTATGAATATAGGTGTGTTTCTTTATAGAGTAGAGACTGGCAATTATGAATATAGGTGAGTTTCTTTATAGAGTAGAGACTGGCAATTATGAATATAGGTGTGTTTCTTTATAGAGTAGAGACTGGCAATTATGAATATAGGTGAGTTTCTTTATAGAGTAGAGACAGGCAATTATGAATATAGGTGAGTTTCTTTATAGAGTAGAGACTGGCAATTATGAATATAGGTGAGTTTCTTTATAGAGTAGAGACTGGCAATTATGAATATAGGTGAGTTTCTTTATAGAGTAGAGACTGGCAATTATGAATATAGGTGAGTTTCTTTATAGAGTAGAGACTGGCAATTATGAATATAGGTGAGTTTCTTTATTTAGTAGAGACTGGCAATTATGAATATAGGTGTGTTTCTTTATAGAGTAGAGACTGGCAATTATGAATATAGGTGAGTTTCTTTATAGAGTAGAGACTGGCAATTATGAATATAGGTGTGTTTCTTTATAGAGTAGAGACTGGCAATTATGAATATAGGTGAGTTTCTTTATAGAGTAGAGACTGGCAATTATGAATATAGGTGAGTTTCTTTATAGAGTAGAGACTGGCAATTATGAATATAGGTGAGTTTCTTTCGTAGAGACAAGCATCAATGTAGGTGAGTTTCTTTGATGAGTAAAGTTTGGCGCCTATGAATATAGGTTTTAAGTTATATTTCCAGGAAAGAATATTTCAGTATATGAGAAAATTCTGACAGTGAATGCATGGTATATTTGAATATTTGAAAGTATGGCTTATATCTTAGTTTAAAGTAGTCATTAGAAATGACTTAAATAAATATTCAACATTGTACCTTCAGATTGGTGCTGAGGTGTCGCCAAATGGCCAGGGTGAAATTTGCCAAAATGAGAAGTGATGTTTTAGTAAAACTAGAACTTCTAGATCAGAAACATGGTGAGTTTATTCACATCTCTTACATTCATCAATCTAAAACCCCAATAAATATGCAGAATCTATGTTTTACATATTATATTTCTTGATTCATCAATTAATTCATGCTCAGGATATTTTGACTCATTAAAATTGAACTATGGATTTTAAGAATATACTATAGTATAGCTTTTATTGCATTAATGAATTTCTGTTGAGGAAAGTGTATGCCGAATGTACTTGTGTATCTCTGTTTCAAGCACAAACTTGTATCATGTGTACAAGCACAATAAAACCTGTGTACAGTGAACACTCTCCATACTGACTGAAATTCCTCATGGACAGATGTTCTTATAGTAAAATATAAATAACTCAATTTTCATATTTTCCAGTCCAAGATATAGTATTCCAGCTACAGAAACTAGTCAATGCAATGTCTCACTACCACAATGAATGCCATGTGAGTATGAAAAATGGCAACTGGTTCCCAATAGAGGTAGACCTATCCCAGAGTACCTTCACATATGACAAATCCAATCAGTTTGATGATGAAGAGGATGAGGAAGGAGATGAGGAAGAGGACACTAGTGCTGAAGTAGGAGCAACTGGGGGAACAACCGGGGAGGAACTTATAAGTACTGATCTCCTTGGAGATTAAAACTGTGTTTAACTTTACAATGGATGTACAGTTGCATATAGTGAAAATTTCTGGATTGGAAATAAAGTTCTGAATCTTGGATCTGTCTCTTGAGTTCAACCACATCTGCATTATACAGTATATTGAGGACAATATTAACGGGGGTGAATGGTTACTTGATGCAAGAGATACTATTTTACATTGAATCCCTCATACTTCAGGTTTCTGTACACATACTTTTGACATATCTCTGAGACTAATCAGAGGTTAAGCCCAGGTCTAGTAGATTACATGGATATGGATAGATACAAAAGAAAAATACTGAAATGCCTACCTACTCTAATTGAGAAATCACAAAAGTTAGACAATGAACATACTGTAATTAAAATTCATTTATTGTTAGTTTTGATTTGGCTCACATTTTAGCTGATGATTATTAGGTGATTTGGCTAGCTAGTATTTCCTCGATTTAAAATGGGTGCCAGTTTTTGGAATTCCTGTTTGTTTCAATGCATTCTTTATCATTTCTAAAATCAATAATTAAAGTGCAATTTTTTGTGTGTAAAGATAGCACTTATTCATTGGTCAAAAGGCAGCAGACAAATTATGATATGTTGCTGGATCAGCTGCATAATCGTTGTTTTAAAAACTTGGAAGTAAAATTGTTAAGCTATTGATATGAAACCAAATTAAAACTTTACAAAAGAGAAGTTGATCACAATCAAATCACACAATCGACTCAGATCTGATAAGTTAAGATTCTCAGGAAGTTTTGAAAACAACTTCATATAAAAATTGACTTTGTGAAAGCTTAAATACTCATGAATTGGTATTTGTAAGTCATAAAAACCTGTTTAAGAAAACTAATATATTGTTTCATGCAGAGAGCTGTGTCTTATGTGTGCTCATTAACATGTAAGTTGAATGAGACATTTTAAAGTCAGTTCGACTATAAGAATGGGGCTCCATTTGATGGGTTTTACTGTATATCTGACAGCTGAATATAAATGTGAATTAAGGTTCAGAATCTCTTAAGGGTCCTGTTTTAGTTGGTTTCGTTATTTTTCTTTAATATGATTTATGTTTAAAATTGACTTGTAGTCAAATCAGTTCTGTATATTAATGTCAACATTCCATGCAAGTAAAGTTCATTCCATCATATTAATAAGGGGTCAATTAAAGTGGGGTTGGCAATTAAAAGAGTGCTTAGCAGTTACTGGTCATAAGGGAATAACTATCCTCTGATTTAAAAATTTCATTAAACCAAAAGTACAATGGCAACCAGGGGTATACATTACCAGAAGGGTTCCCAATTTAAGAATTCCTATATCCATTCTACTATGACATCATACGGATTTTTCAGTTGGGAATATTCTGGTAATGTCAGGGACATGATCTTGAAAAAGCAAACAGAATTATAGTATGCCATCCGAGAGATGGATTTAATGATTTGAATACTTCTCCATCCTCATCTCTACATGTTGCTATGTCCCAAAATGTATCCCAGACTGACTTAAAATTGTGATATTATTGTTAAGGGCTAAGACAGTTAGATCTTGGTAGGCCTTTGACTGAATTAATTTTTCACAAATTTTCAAAAATCACTCTTCTAGATATTGAATAATTTTCTTTTGATTTAAAGAACAGATTTTTTTCGAAATTCAGCCTCTAGTAATATTTCTGAAATGGCTTGATCTAAAGGCATGATCTAATTGTCTGCCCTGAAGTAATACTGAAAGTTACCATACAATTTATTGTGCAATATAAAATGATATTGTTATATCTATATATGTAAATATTCAACCTAGAATAACAGGTTATCAGAAGAAATCCATAAAATTATATGAAATAAATGATTATAATTTATAATTGAAAATGTTGCTTTATGTGATTAAGGAGCAAATAGGAGGGGGTCATTCGGCCTTTCATTTTCAGGATTTGTTATCCCTTGTTCTCCCTTCAACTTATTTTAATGTAAAGGGTCCCAAGTGCATAGCAACAAGTCTGCACCACTGGTGGACAGTGGCAATGTCAATGCAGCAGCCTGACAGTCGCCACTGGTGTATTTTATCCATCCAATCTTAAATGAGTTGAAACCAAAGCATTCTATTTAAATTCTATCACTGTTCAATTATATATCTGCTTTAACTGGGCTTTGCAGATGATAGACGGTGATGCCCCGGGTCTGATGAGTTGGACAATTGGAGTTTTTACTAACATCAAAGCGTCACCTTCTATATCAGATTTATAAATAAAGACCCTACAGGTGCTATGCATCTATGAATATGACTGACATAGAGACTTCTCAGTCAAATTTATTTTTCTGTTTTAAGGCCTATATTTTTTTATTTTTTTCCATTTGATAACTAATGTACATTGTCTGTGCATGTGCTGTACATCGTCCATATACTTACATACCTACTGCACATCATCAATGCATTTACCGTCTACGTTAGATTTGTCTACTCTACAGAAGCCCGGGTACTGGTACACCGAACGAAATTCCACTTATTTGTTGCTGGCGTGTCATGATTGTTTTTCCGGAAGTAGACTTGCACTGAAAATAAAAATTTAGAAATTATCGTTTAGTGAATTTAATGCTGTTGAAGGACATCAATGACTACAATATAAAAACATAACCAAGAGTAAGTCTCATATTTACGCATTAAGGTATATTTCATTTTCAAAACAGTTCAGCAATGGTGTAAAATTACTCGTAAATGTTCTGGTTTATTTATTTTTTATTTCCAATCAATTTGAATTTAGGTAAGAATTTGAATTTGTAATCTAGATAAGAGGGGGATATACCATGATTCATAGATAGATTGGCCTATCTTTATGTAAAGAGGAGCCATTAGAGTTTCACCTTTACTTGAAGATAGCCTCATCTAAGAATTGTTTGTTTGTTTATATTCATCTGTACTAGGTGCTTTGATGCCGCCTTTGTTTAGTCTCTGGTGCATGTTTTTCACATGGTGCTGCCACTTGTAAGTTTTACACTGTTGATTTAATTAGAATTTCTTCCTCATCTTAGCCTAGATCTAACTATATATAAGCTACAGTTTTAAGTCTTTATATACACTGCAAATCAGTCTACCTTGCATGCCCATATCCATGACTTCTGAAGTTGGGTTCTACTTACCTTCTTCTAAGGCCTACACTATGTTCTGACCTAATGCTTTCTTTCTTTGCTGGTCATGCGTTTTATTGTTCTTTACCCTATCACTTATGTTCTTTACGCTACCTCTTATAGACAGTTGCTATTCATGAACTGAAATATAATCAACATACCGTCTTCAATTCTTCATCGATCTTCGTATGTAGTGTTAATTCATATATCCGGTTAGATTAGAAGTTGTTATTCAATCTTTTTTAGAGCATTTTTATCCCTGCATTTTTCTGCTGCCGTTGATGAAACAAACAGCTTCCATTTTTTTACTTCAGATTTTGAATTGCTGATTTGAGTCTTAATTACCTAATAAACAATTTCAAAACAGACAAGAAGTGATCAATAGGCTATATTAGTTTGTGAATCTTTTGGATTGCTATTTTGACTTTACAAACAGTTCTTTATGTCAGACATGGACATATTGGAACTGTCTGAAAAATGGCAGACCCGTTGATTTTAATTTTAGAAGAAACCTGGATGAAAGCATGGAATTTCTAACAAAGGACAGTGTTTGTTTCAATTCTAATTGATGAAATATTCTTATTACGCTGATCAGAGAAAATGAATGGAGGGGGGATGCGGCGATTTCTGCAAGAAGTCAACAAATCTCTTGAAGATTTATTTTTTCAACATCCTAAGCAGGTGTCCAGAATCTGTATCTCCCTCTTCCCCCCTGCTATAAGCAATTTGGAAGCGCCCGATTAAACTGAATCATGTGTTCTAATTATGCGCCGATGACATATACATGATTGCTGTCGCAGTGATGCGACAGCGAATCAAATTGCAAGTTCTTAATCGGGGAAATGCTAACTGCTTATCGCAGGGGGCAAAAAGAAAGAAGATATTCTGGATTTTGAAGCCCTGTGATCGGAGGATGTTTTTTCAAGAGGAAGTTTACTATTGAATTGCTAAATGAATAGATGCATGGTATGGTAAAACATGCTTGGTTTTCTAAGCTTTTTTGAACTGATATGCTTCTAAGATATGAGATCATTTAAAAAAGGCACATCGTCGCCTTGTAATTGCTGTAATTGTATAAATCCCATGTTGAAATTTTGTAGATTATCTATTATTATTCCCTAGTACATTGTAAATATATGAGAATGAGATATTATTGATTATTCAAGTTAAAAAGTACACTCGCAATGACACAGAATTATGTATTAGATATAACATTTATAAATACATCATGGAATACAAATACAAGTATGTCAATAAAATAGGTTGAGTTCTGCTGCGGTAGTTCATGTATATATTACAGAGTGGTCAAAAAACTGGAAACCCTAATGCCATTTTCCTAATATCTTTGTCATTTAAAGAAATAACTTTGCACATTTGTACATCACTCAATTTCCTACCTGCCTACCTTATTTCATGACCATCAGATTGATAGCCACAGTGTTACAGCACTTTAAAGAACATTCTTGGTGGCCACTATTGCGCTGGAGACCAACTCGCACATGTTGTCCAAAATGTCCCTACTTATGAGGATATGGCAGAGATAGAGTGTATAAGAATGACCTCAGGACAATTGGAGACCTCAAAAGTGAGATCATCTGTATCATTCAGGCCATACCTGCTGAGGAATGCATTTGCATCATTGACAACTGCAGGTTTGCCTACAGCGAATCTGAAGCATGTTGTTCAAAGTGCTGTAAAATTGTGTAAAAGTATCAGTCTGATGGTTGTGAAATATGGTAGGGTAGTAGGAAATTGAATGATGTACAAATGTGTGAAATATCAGGAAGTAATTCCTTAAAATGACAAAGATATAAAGAAAATGCAGGGTTTCCGTTCTTTTTGACCACCCTGTATATTACTCCAGGTTAAATTGACTTGGGATGACATGACATGTCAACTTGAATTGGCTATATGGTATTTCATTTGAACAAATAGTTCAAGAAAAGCTCCATTCTTCTTTATGACGCAGCGTAGGCCCAATGGTTACAAAAACAAGAATTCTCAATAGTTTTTGAGTGATGACTGAGCAAATAGATGATGAATGACACAGAGGTGACACATTCATCAAGTGATTAAATTAAAAGTCTAAGTTGACATATGAAAAGGACTAAAATTAAATAACAAGATGTCCATTGTTCTCTATCATGGGGTGGGATCAAAAGATCAAGTTATTTTTCGTGTTGTTTCGTTAAACCGAAGAAAATATGATCATACCTGATCTCTGAGCAACGCGTGCCCTTTACTATAACAGTCGATCCATGACCTTTTATATGCAGATTCTAAGGTATGGGACTTGTGTTTCTCAACCGGGGTAATAACCGAAAGATATGACCCAAAGTCAGGAAGCCTTTTCATTTTGCTGATATTCCAGTTAAAACTATTCTATTTCTAAATCACATACTTTTGCATTTTCTTGCTTCGTGACTATTTAGTTATTCAAACCACATTGAACAAACACATTTTCTACAAAAATGATGCGTCTAATTTCCTCCGTGTTTCTCAAGACATTATAAAGCTGGTTAAACTTCAAGCCTGAGAATTGTCTACACTCATTTACAACTTTTCCACTTCCACCAAGGATTAATTGCTTATGGAACTAGCATTTTGTATTCCAAGCAGGGGTGTTCTAAAATTCACCTTTACAATAACATGAAGAGGATGTCTGGTGTGATGGGAGGTTATTCCCACTTGTTATAAATACCAATGGGACTGTAACGCTACATATATGTATGCCATAAATGGTTGAATTTTATCTAATTTTAAAGTTTATTAAATTTTGGGAATTCTTGGCTCTCCCTTATACTAAATATTTCACAGTGTAAGTAAAACTAAAAAATAAGAAATCAAAAGACCATTTTGCAATAATATATAGAAAAATATATTCATACAAATGACATTTGTATATTTCAGATTATTTAGTTTTTTTGTACAATAAGCCTGTGACCTCTTATAACTTAAGGGACACCAGCCATGTTAATAACATGGCAGAGAAGCATCAAAATATAAGCGGCCACATATTTTACAAGTCAAATCACAAGCAATCTAAGATAGTCTTTTGATCCCTTATTTTTTATTAGGTTTTACTGATGCAGTAAAACAGTGAAATAGACTTTACACACAATGCCCTTTCCATGCCTTAGATTTAGTGCCTTAAATTGCAGGTGACTGAACACAGTGGTGGTGCTGCCAAAATTGTGAGCTCCCTGAAATCATCAACCTACTAGGTAGTCTACTTGACAAAATGGTTCGCATATTAAGTAATGGCGAGATTGTTCAAGATAATGACCCTAGGCTTCAACAAAGAGGAAATACAAATGGATCTCAACAACAGAGAAGGGTAAGATAGCATACATTTTGGCTATGATGGTAAGCTAATGCGTATGCCATAAGGTAACCATGACACATACATTGTACACGTATGCTCTCTTAGGGTAAGATATGCTCTGTGAGGGTAAGATAATGCATATGCCATAATAGGGTAGGATAACCAGACACGTATGATTGCTTGAGGCATATGCCCTGTTTGAATAAGAAAACATGTACATATGTATGTTGTATGGAGGCGAGAAAACACATATGCTCTGTGCTCATGTTATTACTTTATTTATACAATCTGTCTCATATAATTTGGCAAATTTTGAGAATAGAAAATTCAAAATTCAACTTAAATATGCTTGTAGAAAAATAAAATTAATAAAATAATACTAGATGAGAATTTAGATACTAATACACTATCTCCATTTCCATTTTTTCAAATGATTCTTAGTATAAATGTAATAGTGGCAACTATATGTTTAATATGCATGTCTTGTAATACTTGTGAATGGTACATAAACTCTACTTTCAGGGTTACATAGAGCATAATGATAATGAAGATGCCATGATGCAGGGGCAAGGTGGTGGCCAAAGAGGGATGGGCTATGCTCAAGGGCCTTCAATGTTTGACACTCTTAACCAAAAACTCTTAAATGCTGGATTTCCACGCTGGAATGCTGGACCATATGTAGTGGAGCCTCTAGTCTCAGTTGGACTGCTGGTCTTGTTCATGATGGCCGGGTTCCGTGGATTATTATTTGGTGCTGTGTTATTTATGGTTTGTAAATGGAGCACAAGTGGAGGAGGCGGAGGGGTTCAGGACTGGTTGGGTGGAGGAGGAGCTGCCCCCCAGGGACCAAGGCCTGGGGGAGGAGGAAACCCCCCTGGAAATCGACCAGGGACAGGAGGTGGAGGAAACAGGCTGGGGAGATAACATTGCAATAAGATAGCTCAAATGACATTTTAGATTATTCTATTTTTCAATGCAAAGGATATCAGATTTTTTAAAACATCATTTCCTACATAAGCATGTATTTGATTGAATGTAGTGTTCCTACAGGCCAAGAAACATGTGTAATTAATGCAATATCGAAGTTTATCCAATTTTTATAGGGGGCAGACAAGCTTTGATTTTGCAATAGTTACACATGTGAAATTAAATTGTATTTTTCACCATTAGCTTTTCTTTACTAAAGGAATAACTTAATTGATAAAGATGAGTTGAGAGCATTTAAAAATCATGTCTAAAAGTCCAACAGTATACAAACACATAGGGACTGCCATTTGAGGGAAATAGTGCAAATCATTTTCCCCAAAGAGAACACCGACATGTTCCTGAGGCTGTAGGGAAAATGTTTGCGCTATTTTCCAAGAATGCAGTAGTCACTATTTGTTTGTTTATTTCCCCCATGTGCACTCTGTGAAGAAAAACAAAAAACATTTAACGAGACAGCTTCTTATTGGTATTTAAATGCATTTTGCCATGCAAACTCAGTTAATCCCTACTAGCAAGGAAGATAAAAAGTATGGTTGACTGGTCACATGACATAACTGGTCATCAGTACTTTTCATCTTCCCTGTTAGCAGGGATTTAGGGTTTTCTTGGGAATTAGTTCATTTATTTCATATCATGTGACCATGAATAAACCAATGAGCATCTAGAATACATATAGGTTATATAATAAAACGGACTATTTCAGGAATGATATTTTAGAACTTAAAAAATGGATGTCCCCTTTTTCAATGATCATGAATTTGCACATTTCTGCATCTTTAATAACTTCTACATTTGATCTGATATCTCAATTTCAGACAATAAAACCAGGATTGTAAGGGAAACACTGGCATGATTTTTGAAAATATTGCACTCACTATTTTACGCTCTCCGGTGTTCTCCCCAGGAATTTGTTCAACTGGATGCAAAATTCTGAATTTTTGAATTTAAACCTTTGTCTATAATTTAGCGGGATAAATAGTGATTTTTCCCCGTCTTCAAGTGTGTGGAAATGGATTATTAGGTGGGTACAAGCCTATTTTGAAAATCTCAAGCGAGTGCAGCGCCCACTTGCCACTGCTACTTCTTTGAATAACCACATTTTTATCTTGTATAATACCAATAAGAAAACAATGAGAATTATTTTATAGAATAAAAATAAATTATTTTATTTGTAAAAACATATAAAACTGGCCATACAAAACGGCGCAATAATGAATAATAAATATTAACAAATAAAATTAAACCTTTTCTTCGGTTTAGAATTCATATTTAGAACCAAAACTGTTGTAAAAGAGTACGAAGACAGACTGTATGCCAAGATGGACAGATTCCATGTGTCGCTCTATACAAATGTAGACTAATTTGATGAACTATTCTGGCTAATTGTATAAAAGTTTGTTGGCTGATATAAAGATGGCAGTAATTTATATGACCAGTATAGGGCATATAAACAGGTTCATATTTTCAACATTCTTTCAATCACACATAGCCTTTGTTTGATTAAACTCTGTATTACCTTATGAGCCAGCAAGAATATTTCAGACCTATGCAGAGGCAACCACTTCACCAAATTTTTACCAAGTTTCTAATTCAGACATTTTTATAATTGAAACTGTGTAAGAGTCCTTGTGACAGAATTATTTCCTTTCAAAGCTTCAAATTTGCATTATCGATTTAAATCCATGCAACGTTTGAAAATATGTTTTTTTCATTCATTTACAAGCAATTCCTGCTATGATATCATGGAGAGGCAACTAGAATTTGTCCATATTGCTTCATGGTCTGGTTTGTCCTAGGTTCTCCTTATTCATTTTATAAACATAAAGCACCACTTTGTGTTCAAGGCAACCTTGAATGTTCCTAAGAAAGCAGCACAAAAGGTTTGGATTGCTGACTCACAGGATTGTATAGATGATCAACAATTCATTTTGTACACTTTTTCAACAGAATGTAATTTTTTAAAACTATTTATCACTCATCTTTCCCTCACTTAACATCATCATAAGCTTAAATATGAACTAAATGTTTCCCCTATTCTTAAGACAACATATAAGTCTGTAAAGGATTATTGCCGCAATTTGGCATATTGCCACTGATCGTTGAACTGCCCCCTTTCAGCTTATACAGAGATATGTTCTCAACATTAAACAATAACTTTAAAATACTTAAAACTTTAAAATACAATAATATGTGGAATATTGAAATGTCCCCTATACATCAACACAGATATGAGAAACACTGAACCCTAGTGTATGCCCAAGCTTAAGTTTGCTGTGAATATTGCACATACAATCATTAAGAACATACATAAATCACATCAAACAATAAAATCAACTGTTAACATACACAAATCACAACACTACACAATTTGCCACATGAAAATTAAAAGTGTTTTTCATGCTGGAAAAATATAAGTCTGATATTTTGATAAGAAAACATTTTTTCTTACCATATGACACTGGAAGGTAATTTCCAATGTATACATGTCATGATAATTTTGTTGAACATGTGAAGAAACGGTGCCAAAGAAATACATTACATAATGTACATTATCATACAATACAATGCAAAATCTTTTAACCATCAAAAGTATTGCAATATACAATGCGATATGTTGGAAGTTAATTGATGCATACCATGGTCAAAGCAACATCAGGTATTTAAAACCAGGTAACAAATCTCCTTTTGGGATCAGGACTGATATCGGGATGGTATTGGAATAAGCAGGATGATATTGGGTTTGATATCCATATCATCCTGCAAATTCTGATATCATCCCGGGTATATATTCCTGGGGAAATCCTTCAGGATTTATTAACATGGATAAATCAAACCAATACCAGAAAGTCTAAAAGATTATTTATTTCTATTGTCCTGCTCCTCAAAAATTTATGTATTGTTTTCTCATCCAACCTAATGATATTATTGCTATAGAGGTTGATATTGCTCTTAACCATTGAATTCACCTGTCAGGTTGATATGGGGAATATCCCTCGGATGATATCAATATTTTTTTTTTATGTCACTGTGTTCCCTCTGGCAATAATGATATCATCCTTGGGATATTTTCCATATCAAATTCCTCCCGGTGAGTAACTATCATTTTTATCATTATCATATTGGTAAAATCACTCAGGAAATCTTGAAAGTATGACATATGTTATGTCACACTGAACATTTTGTGTCTGACACAATGTGTCATACTTTACACATAATGTCATGCTGTAAATATGTCATACTATCTAGATTTTGTAACACCCTACAAAGTGAGACATATTGTAACCTTGGATCCATAGTTTTGGATCATTCCTCAGTGACACTTTTTTATCTTTATTTATATGCACATTCTGTAGCATGGCCAAAATTTTGAAATTTTGAGTCAGGTTACACGAAATATTTAAAATGGTGAAAAAGTAACTCCCTTGAGATTATAAGCATGGGGAGTTTTCTAATTGGATGGGACATTACAAATTCTGTCACACTGACAGATGTTGTTAGACTGTACAGTTTCTGTCACACTGTACATGTTCTGTCACACTGTACAGATTCTGTCACATTGCACATTTCCTGTCAAACTGTACAGATTCTGTCACACTGTACATATTGTGTCCTATGAGAGATCCTTTATTTCTGTAAAGGTCCAGGTGACAACGAAAGCTTCATACAATGTGATGTTCATTTTGTTCACATAAAGTACCTGGAAATGTGAACGCAAGTATTCAGTAATACAACTAGTGAGCTTAATGTTAAATATGTAAAATTATTATGTGACTGTCACATTCCTTACTCTCTGATTGGTCTACATCCTAAATGTGACTAAAGGTAACAAGCAATATTCAGTGGAAGTCACACATTGTAGTTGTAGTGCTTCAATTCAGTTTTAATACAGTTGATAAAGGATCCAGAAATGATTGGAACATTCTCTGATTTCATATAATAAATGGTGCTAATAGAAGAAACTGTTTTTTTTGATTTAATAACCAACCTGAAGAACATGTTTAAGTTTACTAAATGTTGTTTAAATGTAGTGAAACAAGATTGTAAATTTGTACTCACATTGTGTGAATCATCATAGTAAAAATCATCATGGAGGTTGGATTTCACTTTGACTTGTTTTGGTTTCTGTGCCATACCAAAGACTGTCATCTGCTCTAGTTTAAGTAAATCATCTTTGTATCCCAGCATGTCGACCCTACTGTAGATCTGCATGAAAATTTAGACACAGTAAAACCAAGGGAAAATAAAGACACTGTAAACCCCAGGGAAAATAAAGACACTTTAAAACCAAGGGAAAATAAAGACACAGTAAAACCAAGGGAAAATAAAGACACAGTAAAACCCAGGGGAAATATAGACACAGTAAAACCCAGGGAAAATATAGACACAGTAAAACCCAGGGAAAATATAGACACAGTAAAATCAAGGTAGTTTACTCCTACACTACTTTTCAACATAACTAGATATACACGGCATTAACATGCAAAATGTCACTACCTGCCATTTGTTACAAATGACCACCGAGCACCATTAACAAAAAAGCTGGAGAATATTATAAAGTTAGACGATGCTTTCAAGAAGGTTGATTCTATAACACTTGTACTAATTTGTGTTTATTTCAAAGTAGTCTGATAATATTTTGTTCCAGAACTCTCAAAAGTTGACAGTTTCTTTAAAACTATTTGGCCTTCAAATGTAACAGGAACTTTTCTTTCACACTTCAACATTTTGTTTCATCAACCACACATGTAATACTTAAAGATGAACATATACCATAAGTGAAAGAAATATCCACAATAAAAACTAAGAATTTGATAATGTAGGATTTCACACGTACCTTATTTTTCAAGGTCTTGAATCTGATTAAAGTGTAGAGCTTTCTGTCATGAGTATCTGAAAAAACAAGTTCATATAATGAATATATTGTATCATCCAATAGTGATACAGTATTTCATTTTCAGCTGGTAAAATGTGACTGGTGACCACTTTCAAATTTGCCACAAAAGGCATTACAAATGAGCTGATTGCTGACTGGATGAAATGGGACAGTTCTTGATATTTTTAACTAACTGGGTTCTACACTAAGTTCTATTTTCGAAAAAGTTCTGACTCTATTTTGACACGCAGAACAACTGAATATGTGTAAGTTACACAATATAAAATACAGTAAAACCTGTCTACGTGGAACACCTTTGGTACTTCTAAAATGTGTTCCACTTGGGAGATGTTCCACTTCTTATTGAGGTTCATTTAATATAAGGTCAGTTGGAACTCTGAACTTTTCCACTAAAAGAGGTGTTCCATTTCTAAAGGTGTTCCTGCTTTATGTACTTACTCAATGACTCCCCATCATCCCAATACAACTCCCCAGAGGAATGGGAAAACTCATCAAGAGTGACTAGCAGTTTGAATGGATTCTTGCGGCTGAAAAACATGAGAGAGAACACATAGTTTTTTAAATAATATCATACAGTTATCCACATGTAAATACTCTTTATTTTATGTATATAATATAACTTTATCATTTTGTACAATAAGTGTATATAATATTTTTTAAATAACACCAAACAGTACTCTATATGTGCATAATCTTTTTAAATAATATCAAACCAAAATCTTTTTTCAAATAATTCATAAAGTACTGTACGTAATCCTTTTCAAATCGATGCATGTGATTTTTTAATGAAAACAAAAAACACCAATATATCTTTTCAAGTTAATATCCCCAGGAGAAAATGTGGAAAATGATGACATGGACTGGAATACCATATTGCATTTACTCTTAACGGATGAGAATTATGGATACCATTTGCAATGCACAAAGTCACTTTGTCTTGTACATTCCAAATGACCCACATGGCAGATAAGAAGGTGTTTGGTAAATCAAAATGGTTTATCATGGTTACTCATGTTTAAGATAAATGGGGCAGTGTTATATATTACATGTAGATGTTGCAAAACATAAGGTAGGCTGAGACCTTGATTGCTTCTCATCTTGATAAAACAAATAATTTTGATTTCAAATTTTAAAATTTCTACAGTAAAACCTGTCTAATCCAAAGACCCTTGGAGTTCAAATAAGGAGGTCTCACATTTCGACGTTTTGGCATTCGCAAGATTCTAAGTTTTGAAGAAATGTGAACACAATGAATATTTATAGTCTTTTTACCACATAGCTTCATGCATGGCATTCTGGTAATTTGAAAATCAGATTAAAAATGAAAGTCGCGCTGGAAAGTTCTATTATGATTGAAACCATTCAAGGTTTTTCCAAAAGTTTTGATATCATGAAAATCAATGTTTAACTTTCAAATATTTAAGCAATTTTGTATGGAACATTTGACATTTTCTAAAAAATGTTCAGATTAGGCAGTTTAACTTTTCACTTCATATTTGGAGGTGTTCACATTTCAAGTTTTTTTAACATGGGAGTCAATGGGAAAAATGGGACCAAAAAAGCGTTCAAACTGGAAAGTATTTGAATTTGCCAGGTGTACACACATGTAAAAAAGGTGACCAACTTGTAAGCCAAAATTCACTGCCACTGCACTTAAGATAAATGCCCAATGAGAAACCTTGATCATGGTCAAAGATTACATTATCTCAAAAATGAAACCAATTTTAAATTGTGTTATTATAAATCTATCAATTCAGACTTACTAATGTACAACCATTTTATATTTCCTAAAAGCACATTTGAAGCTTCTAAAATGTTCCAAATCATTGCTTTTGGCATACATACAAGTACACATGTGACATGTATGGTTACTCCGTATATTCAGTACTGTTATGCTATGGAACAGAAATCAAAATCGAGGCCTTTGGTGAAAAGAAAGGTACATGCATGAATTCTGCTGTTTTACAGTAACTGATAACAATATGCATTGCCTTTCATAACATGGGTGTGTTGACTAACACCTGTTTGATTAGTGTTGAAGCAGAGAAGTATTGGACTCTGGAAACGCAACAAAAATGATGGCGTTGGTGGTTGTCTTAGCAACTTTGCTTGGAGTCTCACTTGCAGGTAAAAACTTATATAACATATACACAAATTACACATAAGGCTGTTCAACTGAAAATGATTTTTTGGTGTTGATTTAAATAAAATTGGAAATAATTTAGGAAATATTTCTTATTCAATTGCTAGAGACTGCCCCGAAGCTGGCCGACCCTCGCTTGTGTGGAGATGGCAACTGGTTGTATTTTGAAAACAACTGTTATACCCTGCTGACTGGGTCATACACTTGGAATCAATTCTGGGCGGTAGGTTTTCTATATTACAATGGGTTACATAATCGGGATTACATAATCCTGGTTACATAATCGGGAAACTGAAGATGAAAAGGACTCGAGTGTCATCTAGGCATTATGAAAAGTATGTATACAATTTTCTGACAATAACATTATTCTTTACATTTAAGGGAATGTCAGAATGCCAGATAAAGTAAAACTTATACATGTCATATCAACATGAATTAGAATAACTTGAGTGATGAATCTCTGTTATAAATTACATATTGTAGGTCTGCACACAGGAGTACAATGCAGTGGGTGCTACCATATTCAGTGCCACTGAGAATCAGTTTGTCTGGGCAATGTTTGGAGGTCAGAACAGAGACCGCAATGCTTGGCTTGGTGGCAACAGAATAGGCAGGGAACATCCTGACTTTAGGTCACAATTTGGTTTTATCTTTTTTGCTCACGGTATTCTTTGCTGCACTCATTTTTGAAAAAAGAACATTAAGTTATCTTGAAATTGTAGTTTTTATAGTTGATATATAAAAAGAACATTATGTTATCTTGAAATTGTAGTTTTGACTTTCTTTGATGGTAATAGCTTGATTCTCAAATTGATATAATTCTAAAAAAGTGGACACTCTCTTTGACACCTTCCACACCTTGAATTTTCAACAATGTCCATTGTATTTATTTTAGGGATCTGAACATATGGTATTTGATACTTATGGTTATGGTTAATTTCAGATGGCAGGATGGAACTGGTATGAGTTACACTAACTGGGCACCAGGTGAGCCAAACAATGGAGGGATTGGAGGCCCTGAACAGGAATGTATGATAATACGGGAAGATGATGGGAAATGGGATGATATTGAATGTGACCTTGAAAAAATTGGAATTTGCAAAAAAGGTAATCAAAAAATAATAAGTCAAGTCAAGACTCTAATTTGTGTAAAAATGTCAAATAATGAAGCATTAATGAGCATCATTTACTAAATATAACAAAAACCCAATAACATTGCATTTAAAGATGAATGAATTATGCACATATTGTAAAAGAAAGTACTATGTATTTTTTAGCTGCCAATGTGCCACTTGTTGAGTGATATGGCAGGTACCATATGGAGGGTTGCTAGCAAAGAGGAATAAAAACAACATATCAAATACAACATCCCGATGTAAATGATTAAACATAATTTTAAATTGTTTCAGATGACATGAATAAAAATAAAATGAATGAGTTTTCTCATTTTCTGTGTTTGAATATTAAAATGTACTACTGATTACTGACTTTAATATAATGCATATAATACTCTGCATTATATTCTATAATCTGTCCAAATAAAACTCATACTAAGCAAAGGAACTGACCTTTCTGTAGTAGTGAGACTTGGTTCTTGCTGTGGTATAACATGACCAGCTCTCACATGTAAATTAATGATGTCAAGTGGGGCTGCTAGGTTGTAATATTCCCCCAGAGAATCTCTTCTCTTCCCGGAGTATAGACAGTACCACGTATCTCTTGGAAAGTAGGCATTCACATGTGTGGTATCCTGGATATACGAAGAGAAACATTAATGAAGTCAAGTGGGGCTGTAAGATTGTAATATTCCCCCAGAGAATCTCTTCTCTTCCCGGAGTATAGACAATACCATGTATCTCTTGGAAAGTAGGCATTCACATGTGTGGTATCCTGAATATACAAAGAGAAACATTAATGATGTCAACTGGGGCTGTAAGGTTGTAATATTCCCCCAGAGAATCTCTCCTCTTCTTACCCTGTGTGCAGAGTCTAGTTAAACTACACTCTGCCTAGTAGAGACCATATTACAGTTTAGTAGCCCCGCCCCCACGATGGGTACCGGTGACAGTTTGAGTAATAAATCACTTTTGACCTACGCGCTGACCTTTCTTCCACCAATCAGCGAGCCTGAAGAAACATACGCCAAATGCGTTCTAATTAAGTATGCGCATGTCATTGGTCAATTCCGGGTTCAACGATGACGTCAGGAGGAATGACCATAAATAGAACGTCGGTCATATTTGGCTGACCAACACTGATTGGCGCAGTGAGTTCACAGGTTTATTTTAGTTTGAAAGAGTGAAGACGAAGCTCTCTTTTAAGAAGTGAAGTCAAACGAATGCAAAGGGTATCCTCTTCCCGGAGTATAGACAGTGCCATGTATCTCTGGGAAAGTAGGCATTCACATGTGTGGTATCCTGGATATACATAGAGAAACGTTAATGAAGTCATGTTTATAGCTTGTGAGTCCCCTAGTTCCTAGTAATTTTATATTAGATCACTGAAACCTAGCTGGAAATAGATAAACATGCAGAAGAATGAACTAGAAATCGGCAAGTCCATAGAGTAGCAAATCCCAATGAACACTATATAAATTATGAATCTGTACAGTCACAATGTAATATTTACCATCTACTCTTCCCTTCAATAAATACTTGAGATCATAGTGGAATCGTGTAACCATACTTAAAAGATATCACTTCAAACACATCTCAAGATTACAGCAAATTTCTTTTGCCCCAACCCCCCATTTATGGCCCCTAGGGGTCAGGGTGAAAAACACGATATAAATGTGAAATATATACACAGAGAGACGGACAGACTGATGGAGGGACGGAGGGCTTCACTATATCCCAACTGAACTTGGTTCGTTGGGATAATTAATGATCAATAACAATAATGCTTCATAAAATACAAAAAATTGCATGACTATATTTTTCCTTTTACCATAGCTACAGCATCACTTTGTTTTTATCAAATCAATATTGTATTACTCTTATATGTGAAGATTAAAAATTGTGGTTCCCAGAAATGATATGACCTGTTGAAAAGATATGGTTCTAAGAAGTTATCAGTAATTTTTCATATTTATCAATGAGTTGATTCTTGATATCGATCTTGAAATTCTTAAACTTACTAAAGTTGACGATGACCTTTTAAAGTATTTATTTAAAAGTGATTGAATGTGATATCATAAATGATTAAGAGTCAACCTTTACAGATGATACAGATGACATGACCTAATATGACATTTGTCCTTGTGATGTCATAATCTGAGCCAATCAAACTGCTTAAGCTAGATAGGTTTCTGAGAAATGAAACTATCAGTATGCTACATTTTATAACATTACTTGATTAAACATTCCAACAACTTAGCGACTTTTATTCCTGACATTCTCGTTGATAAGGTGTATTATTAAGTAAGTAAAACTGTTATAGTTAAAACAGACTGAGGATGGGAGGGGGTCAATGAAGTTACTGCACTAATACTTGTAAAACTGTTATTGATATTACTCATCTAAACTCAACTAATTTTTGGAAATACTTGTATATTACATACTCGTATAGTATTGACTATAATTGATTGTGGATCAAACGTTCAAGATACCTGAAAATTATTAGTTTAACAGGATGGATCAACCCTACCTGGACCCAGAGAAGAGGTGTTTTGGAGAATACAGGTGCCCCAAGTGTAAGCGTCACTGGATGAGTGGGAACAGTTGGCCAAACAAGGGACAAGAATGTGAGAAATGTCACATCAATGTCATGGCTCATAAACAGGTTAGTAAAAAATTTATAAATCATTTTCAAGTCTGTTCATTTCTCGCAGTCATTTTAAGAAAAAATTGTAATGACAGTATGGCAAAATAATCATGAGAAAAATAACCAATTTATGTCTACAGACTATAAAACTCTTACAATTTTAATATCTAAAATAAAAGGAAAAATCCCTGTAAGCCTAATAAGGGTGGTCAAAAAATTTTCCTCATATCTTTGTCATTTCAAGAACTCCCTGATATTTTACATATTTGTACATCATTCAATTTCCTACCAGCCTACTTTATTTCATGACCATTAGAGTGATAGTCACAATGAAACAGCACTTTAAAGAACATGCTCCAGTGGCCACTATTGCGCTGTTGGGAAACCTGCACTCATTGTCCAAAATGTCATTACCTTTGGGGATATGGCAGAGTGTATGAGAATGACCTCAGGACAATTGCAAATCTCAAAAGTGACCTCATCCGTGTCATTCAGGCTATACCTGCTGAGGAATGCATTCAGGTCATTCCACAAGACAAAATCGTATGAAATAATTTGGGATAAGCTAGTTATTAAGGTTGTTATTATGGTCTTACTAGTGGTTATTATTGAGTAATGGTACAGGTATTCGATATGGTATTGCAGCTTACACTTAAGTAATGGTACACGTATCCTTGGATTTTAGGCCCGAATACCGAGGTTTATTTTTTTAATTATCGTGTATTATTATTTTGTGTTAATATTAGTTAACCATATAACTATTGGCATGATATGATAACCTTGTTATATTAATATAGCGCATAGGCGTAGCCAGGGGGATGCGATGTGTGCGATCGCACTCCCCCCCCCTCCATAACCAATGAAAATAGAACCATTAGATAGAAGAAAAAAGTCTTAAAATGCTTTTTATTTGAAGCTTCTAGCTCGATTTTGAACGAAGTTGCACCAATTTTTGTAAAATTCAAAACAAATCTTCAAAAACATTTTTTATGCCACGATCGCACCCCCCCCCCCCCCCCTCCCCCCGACTGAAAGCTGGCTACGCCACTGTAACGTGTAATCAATACGCTACATTTTGTATGTTCAATTTGTATACTAAAAACTGTTATTAATCCACAAATTTAGATGAAGACAAGATAAAAATTCGAATCAAGAATGAAAAGGTGTCTAAGTATATGCTTCTTAAGGGTAATGCATATTTGAATTAAACAGAGGCGGGTTAATTTATATTGTGCTATGAATTACGCTATTATTCAAAATTGCAGCTAAGATGCCTGTTTTACGATACCCTGCGTGCAGAGTCTAGTTAAAGTACACTAAGACGAAGCTCTCGTGAAGTCAAACGAATGCAAAGGGTAGTTTTATGAAAAATATCACGGAAGATGTATTCTAGATATCAGTAGTATTCTCAGAAATTTATTATCCGAAACGGATAACATCTGGCCACTCAGACAAACAATCGCAGACATAGGCTAAGCTTGTTTATTTAACAGTTAGATTTGTTGACTTACCGATCCGTATTTCAATCTCCGGGAAGACGTTCTTTTCACTTTGTTTTTGCGTGCAGTGTAATATAAGTTGATACTTTTGTTCAAAAATGTACTTTTAATGGCCATTTTATGCCTTTTATCTTCAAATTATGTTTTGTTTGGATGTCAGTGTGAAAAGTCAAGAAACGTCAACCCCGACTTTTAATTAAAAAATGTTGGTTAATCACTTATGGCAAATCACAAGGTTGATGATGTCAACGGACCATGATCGTGGAAGGCTATCAATATCAGGTGTATATCGCATAGAAAATAAATATAGCTAATTTTTCGCACTGATATGATGATGACTATTCTGGCGAATCGGGTAGATATTTCTCAGTTTTTTCCGGTAATAAAACTATTCATTTCTATAAATTTTACAAACGGGGTCCTTTGAATGCACATTAAAACTATAAAAGTATTTATAGGGCGTACATACTCGTTCCGTCATGTTACTTACATTTCATTTGCAAGTTGTCCACATATTAATCCGGCGTTTTGTTTAATCAAATTTCCCGCCCCTTGAGGTTTCCGACTGTAAAACTTAATATTTAATACTAACCAATGCATCAGTTAATATTCTCAGAATACAAATTTTCCATTTTTAGTTCTCTGATAGATAAAGTCTCATTTTGAATCTGTTCGTGTATTAAAGAGTATGCTTTTATAATGCCGTGGTCACATTTGCTCAGATTTTCAGCACCGGCGCCCGGCCGATGAGTATTTTGTTCAAAATTGTATTCAATTCTGAACAAAATACTCAATCGGCCGGGTGCCGTAATGAAAATCGGAGCAAATGTTACCAAGTCATAACTGATGAAAAATCAAATGAGAACATGAACATGGATAATAGGGGCACTATTACGCTGCGTGCAGAGTCTAATTATAAACTACGAGGAGACGAAACCCTCGATAAGTGAAGTCGAACAAATGCAAAGGGTAGGGTACTATAGAAGGGGATCATATAAAAGCACGATCTATTTCACAACGCCTTTTACTTTTGTTCTTCAACTGTTGCCCTTTGTGCATTTCAAAAATAAAATATCTTAATCTGATTTGTTCCACCTTTCTTTTCGCTCAGTTCTGCAATATTATGTCCATATGTTGTTTAGGATTATGTCATTTGCGAAATAGCTGTAAGACATTATGAGAATGAATATGGGAGTTTCCACGATAATGTTGTTCACATGATTTTATACACATACCTGCATAACAATCGGAGACAGAAGTCTTAATATTGTCCAATAAAAAATGAGAATCTAACATTTAATGATAACAAGAGGATTAATTTCTTAGTTCTCTTTGTTTTAGTCTTTGTTTTCTTAAATGCGGAAGTGTACCAACATCACCTAGATTACATAAGAGATCATCTAACAGTCTAAAATTGCTTTTAATTGCAAGTTAAAGGGGCAATAAGGCTTGTAAAGAGAAAATAGGAAAATTTTAACTTTTTCTTAGCTATCAAGGCAACAGTTGGCTTAACACCTTCTTCGACATACCTATTTTCTTAAAATGTTTGGATAAACTATCAATTTTGGCATTAAAAAGTGTAAATTCAGTTCAAAGCTTCAAAAAGGGGACGTCCACTTTTATATTTTTAAGATCCACCATGTCTAAGAGGAATATAAGCTGAAATAATGATTATCTTGGGGGTTTCTTTGTAAAAAATAAAAATAGATGTTAGTCTTGATGAAATATCCAAACTTAAATATATTTTGACACTGGTCCATGATCGTTGAATGGCCCCTCTGCACTACTTGTTGCACCTTTAATGCATTCCGACAAAAATGTGTATACCTGTTATTAGGGGGGGGGACGATGTTACATCACATAACTACAACGTTCATATAGAAATATACAATAAGCATGTCCGTATAAAAGCTAAAATTATAAAAACTCATTTCAAAGTCATTCTGTTCATGGAAGCGTCAAGTTATGAAAAACAATGCTAAACACTCAAACAAATCGACTTGATTACCTTTGAAAACTTCTTGAGAGGAAATGGACAAATGTATTTTTCTAACTCATTAGAACGTCTGTCTGATTGAAATACTATTTTTAAATACAAACATAAATGATTTAATCTTGGTCAGAAGTCTGAACATTGTCCAACAAAATAATAAGAATCTAACATTTAATGATTACAAAAGGATTAATTGCTATATAGTCTTTGTCTTAGTCTTTGTTTTTCTAACGGCGGAAGTGTACCAACATCACCTTGATTACAGAAGAGATCATCTAACAGTCTAAAATTGCTTTTAATTCCCGGGTTTTAATTACATTTTATGTATAGACTTTTTGCCTCTATTCTCATTTTTAAACCTGTTTCTGTTTGCTTATTTAACAATTGTGATAAATTATTCAGTTAGTGTCGAAATCAAAACAATTTTCTACATTATAGTCCCCTCCTCTTGCACTGACTAAATATTAAAATAAGCTAGTCTGATTGCGAATTTACAAATCCTGTAAAAGTAGCTTCAAAAACATTAATAAGTTAATTCATCTGATTGCGAAAATACGAATCAATCTGATTATCTGATCTCCATGCTATTTGCATCGTGAGATATCACGGCTTTCTCTCAGTGTCCTTCTATAACATTGTGCATAGCAGAGATGGTCTGAGCAAGGACGTCCTTGGTCTGAGTATCAGAATGTGCTATTTGATTCGTGCATTATCGTACAAGTCAGTCGGGCAAGGGTGAAATTATTTCATTTGAAAACAGAAATAAATATCAGAACTCCTCTAGCATAACTATTCGGAAGAAATTCATACAAAAAATAAGGTACACAACTGATGAAGGGTCGCACACAATGCACGCACCCCTCTCCTCCTCCTCTGTGTTTGCCCACACACGAACATATTTGACAATTTTTCTAAAAGCGTTTTCCCCGGGAATATAGGTGTAGCGGTTGCCAGAAGTCGCACAGCTTGGGAGTCAGGGTATCCTGATCCATGCCTCAACGCCTGACGGGTCTGATATTTAGAGGGGGCAAAAGAATTATTAGGGGGCAAAATATCCATAGGCGTAGCCAGGAGGGGGGGGGGGTGCGATGGGTGCGATAACAATAGGCTTTATATATGCTTTAATGTTTTATTTATCATGATGCTTTTATGTAGGCTATTAATTACAGTTCTTTTTGCAATATAAAACTGGTATGTTTATGCAAATTCCGATTGGACTAATATAAAGGGCTATTGTTTCATTATGTTGACTTGAGAAAGTCCGACATACTCATTGCTTTCAACCCAAAACTTAAAATAGGAAGTTATCAAGATCCCAAGAACACGATCGCTACTTAAACAATACGTTTGTAAAATCCCGGCGATCGAAATGCAATCAAACTTTCGCAATCAGGTGCCTAATTAGTCT